GGAACAGGTGCTGAGAGCTCCCCACCGCTGAGGGGCTGCGGCAGAGCGGGGAGCCGCCGCCGGGCAGGGGCGGCTGAGGTGGATTACCAGTTGTGTGGAGGAGAGAGGTCTGGGAGAGGGCACTGAGGTGTGTGACAGGGCTTGGGGACAGCTTGCACAGCGTCTGCTCATGCAAAACCAGTGTAATGATCCATTCGGATGTCGGAATTACAACTCACCCTCCTCCCGACCAAAGCCAACAAATAAACAAACGGCAAGGAGTGCAGTGGTTGCCGGGCCTGGCGCGGAGCTGCAAAGGCAAACCTCCATGCTCTCCCTCCAACCCTTGTGGGGAAGCAGCTCGCTGACTGACCACCTGCTGCCAGACTGGCCAGAGGCACCCCTCTGGTTCTCTCAGGTGTCAGCCAAAGGCTTCAGAATGCAGCAGGGCCAGTGTCCTATGAATGGCTGTGTGAAGGGAGGGATGGAGGGATGAGACAGCCGCCCATCCCACAGGCATCAGCAGATACTCAGGGAGGGCTGATCCACCCCCATCCCAGCACGGAAATGCTGGTCATGGGAAAGCAGGTGTCTCTTTGCACGAGCAGGGTAAGAGGGTTGCACCCTTTGGTGCTTCAGCCTGGCAAGGTCCGAACGCTGTGTGCTGGGGCCCAAAGGCACACGTGCGACACTGACCATGTCTTCCCTACAATCACATCATTCCCTTTCCTCCAGAAAGCCTCCCTGGGCCCCTGGCCAGGCAGGCTGCTTACGGGCTGAGGAGCGGCTGTGAGACCTGAGGGAGTGGAGTGGCTCCTGCAGCAGAACAGTGGCCAGCCTGACCCAAAAGAGCTGAGTGTGCCTTCCCAATTGGGACCGCGCACTCTCATCCCTATCGCTCTGACTTGACGGTTCCTTCCCGTTTGCACTGTTCCAGCTCCATATGCTATCCTTGCCAGCTCCAACTGCATGGCCGTAACCCTTCCTCTGCTGAAAACTGCCTTGGCTCTCCTGCTGCCTTTATCCCAGTGCCACGGCTGTGTCGCTGACCAATGCCCACAAGTGCACCCACGCTCTCACTGGTGCCACATGAGCACTGGCCAGCGCAGGGTCTCCCTGGCAGTGTGCTAGCAACTGCTGAGGAATGCCAGACAGCACTGCAAAAAGCCACGTTTCCACAGCACCAGTGCCCGCAGTTGCCAACCGCATCCATGCAGAGAGACAAAAGTGCATATGGGGGTGGATATGTGTCTGTCCAAGTGTGAACACACAGGCTCTCAGCAAGAGGCTTTCTTGGGAGAAGGACACTCAAGCATTTTCCTCTACCAACACATTCCATTATTAAACAAACCTTATTTATCACTTGGTTAACATGCCAGCAAGGAAACCCCTTGCCCTAAACACAGCCAAGCCCCTCTCCATAGAGTGCTATACATGTAAATGTAGGCCTCAGTGTATGGCTAAAACCATCCCAAAGTCCAAAGTCTTCAGTGTTACGTGCCTTGTGCTAGAACACAGGCCCAGCCTTACACAAGGGTGGTTGAGTCTATCTCTATATTATATCTTTATATCTATCGAAAACATAGAAATATATAAATATATAGGATTTCATTTATAGATATATAAGCACGTGATTTTAATCTTTTGTACTGTGTGTATATGTACTGGGATGTGCGTATATACAATATATAGACCATATGCATATGTACTGTATACATACACTAACTTACATGCACACACATCATACATGTCTCCAAGGGAGACAGGAATTGCATAGGCATTACTGCATTGGATACAATGGCTGGGGGATTAACGTACCATTTCTCTGCTTTTAAGACCTCTTTTAACAGGGGTGAAAGGGGAATCTGCAAAAGCAGAGGCTGTTGCTGCTTATTTGCAAGCCAGCTGTCTAGGCACTGGTCAAACAAACAGCAATCCTCATGAGCTAAGAAAGGAGGGGGACTCCAAAGACCCCGCGGGCCATCTGGTTGAGTTTGTGCTGTGAGAAAGAGATGGACCGAGCCTGGATGATGTCTGAACAGTCATACCAGCAAAAGCGTCACCAGTACAGGGCACATGGCTGCAGTTGGCTCAAGACCCAAGGCAGACACCACACGAGGACCCTGCCCACTGTGTCCCCTCGCAACCCCCGTGACTTCCGTGTGCTTTTGCTGGTATGGGAAGAGCTTTGGTTTCTTGTGAGGGTTATCCCTGCTGAGGTCAGTCTCGTGGCTGCAGGGCCCGGACCCCTGTGGACACGGGTGAGCCCTGCAGAAGGACACGTCTAAATGTGCTTCACAGATTTCTGCTTCACAGCAGGGTAAAAGAGGCAAGGAGCCTGAGCAAAAAGTGGGGAAGGGAAATTGGCAACCAAAAATCCCATGGGCTAGAAATACAAACCCAAGGGTTTGGAGAAGTGTGCATTATTCACAGTCAGATGCCATAGCTAAGATGCAGGGGAAGGAGACAATAAAGAGCTCATTCAAGAAAAACTGAATCCTCTGTCTCTGTAGCCTAACCAGTTCAAGACGCTGTGAGCAACACATTCAAAACAGCTCCTCTCGCTCTCTCAGCACAGCAGGAAAGGCATTGATTAAACCTGATGCAGGGCAAACTTGGAGCCATGGAGGCCTCCCTCAGCACCCTGCTAAGCCCTCCCCATACCTGCTGCTGCCTCCTGGCCTCACTGCCACCAGGCTGGGCCCAGACAAACAGGGCACAGAGACGTACCTGCTTCTGGGAAAGGCTTGGGAGCCCTGGGAAGCCAGGGGTGCTTTGCATTGATATTCCTCCCTCCTCCCTGTCTTGTCTATGCTGGTAGTCATGTTTCCATCCACAGACTATCCATGAAAGTAAGAGCTACAGATCTGAGATAGGCAGGTTAACCTGGAGAGAAAGCTTGCAAAGCACCTGCTTTACCCTAGGACAAAGGCCAGGTTTATTTTCTGGTGTGCAGGTAACAGGGAATTGTGTTGGAGGAGCTGGGATGGGCTGGGCTGGGCCAGCTGCTCTATGAAGCTCTTGTCTATGCTCAACACCAATCTAAGGGGTCTCTGACCTTTCCTATCACGGGTATCCACAACATCCAGTGGCAGGGAATCACTGTTTGCAAGCGAAGTTATTTGCTAAAGGAACAAGTGCTCTGCCTGTGTCAGCTGGCTGCCAGAGAATATCACCACATGCTGCACATTTCACTGCACCATTAGAAATAAAAGCTGCCAGTGAAAGGTGTCACTGATGAAAGCAGGATTTGCAAGTGAGCCAAAGGGAAGGAGTGACAAATTGGAAGAATAATTTCTGAACAGGCCACTGGCAACTCTCACCTTGCCATTTCCTCCCCGGTAGCAAAAGTTAGGAGGCTTGGATGGAGAGTTGTAAACAGGCCTCTTGGGCTGCTCAACACAAGCCCTGGGGGAGCATTCCTCTCTCCAAAGGTCTTTGGAGACTGTCTCCAAATGTTCCTTCCCTCCATGTGGGCCAGGCACTTTGATGGGCCTTTGTGCCAAGGAGCTTTTGCTGCTGCAAACAGAAAGGCAGGTGATTTTTCCTCTCCACCCATGAAGAGCTATGGAGTTCTATGGATGCTATGATCTATGTTCACCTTACCCATCTCCAGTCAGAAATTAATGGAGCAGCAGTTTTTCTATCTTTTTTATCTTTTTATATCTCAAGTTTTAAAAAGGAAGGGAGCCTGCCACCTCCCTGGCAGGCAGCAGCTCCAGAGCTTTGTGGCAGCACCCTGAGCAGAGCCAATTCAAACCATGCCCGGAAGAGCTACGAGCACCTTGTGTGGAGAGGTCCCTACTTTATGGTCAGGCAAACAACCACCCAAGGCTGTACAGCTAGCAGGGGGTTTCCAGTTTAATTTTCACTCCTCTGGATGAATGGATCAACTTGATCATATACTTTGTAAGAAAATACAGGAAAACATGAAAACAAAGCCATTTTTCATGCTTCCTAGGTGTGTCACATCAATGCCCCTGTGTTGCAACTGTGTGATGCCCTGACCTAGCTTGTGACATTTCCATGAGGACCACAAGGAGGAGCACCCAGCGCCTGCACCCCTGGCGGCAGTTTGGCAGCAGCCGGGTGGCCCTGGCGCAGGTGCCCTCTCCTGCCCGAGCCAGCCTCAGGCTGCACGTGCGGTCAGAGGTAAGGCAAGGGGTGAGTGCTACAGAGGGTGCTGACCAGCCCTCACTGCTACATTCACAGGCTCCACTCTGTTCCGCTCGGACCACCTGACTGGAAGGCCCTGTTTTACAGTGAAGGGGCAGTGTCAGGACACAAGGACAGGCCACCACTCGTGCTTTGGGTGGGCTCAGTCCCTCCTCAATCCCACAGGGACAGAGGCAAGCACTTCCAAAACCCTGACAAACACCAGCCTAGCTGCTCCTGTGTGGTCTGAAAGTTGAACTAGTCCATAGTGGCTTGGCTGCACACCTCTGCCAGTGCTGGCTGTGAAGTTCTGCTGAAGGCAAAGGGGTTAGCAGGAGGTGAGTGAGACCTAGGTAGAAGTGTGTGTTTTCCTGGGGAAGACAGTGCGTGAACCCTGGCAGTGAAAGTGACTCAGAGAGAGATCAGTTCCAAACATGCTACATCTCCATTGAAAACAAACAAAAAAGTTTAAAAAATAAAATAATATTATATATATATATATATATATATATTTATATAAATGAAAAGCTATTAACTAGCAGCAACGTTTCTAGAGATATCTTAGCACCAAGACCAAGGGCAGGGGGGTAACAGGAGAAAGGAAAGGTTCAGTGTTGCTGATACCACCATCATGTTTCCAAACAACACAGCTTGGCACAAAGCTCATCCCTCTGGGAAGTGAGAACATGTTGGCCTGGACATCTTTTGGACAACTTGTCTCACTCCCACGATGGTCTGGTCAGGTTGGTGCTGTCCATTCCACATCAGCAGGGCAAGGCACTAGCATCTGTGGAGTTTTTGCACCTTTTTTGTTTGTGTGGTTTTTTTGGTTGGTTGGGGTTTTTTTTGTCGTTTTTTTTTTTTTCCTCTTTTCTAACCTGAAGTGATATTGTGTGGATGGAGCTTGTTTACTTTAAAAGAATAAAACAAAGAAGAGCCCCAAGCCCACAAAACAATCTCTCTGTGATGGAAGGTGCAAGTCCCCCATTCACATTTCAGATGGACTCCGCATTCCTTCAAGAAAGGAAGAAATAACTTGCAGGAAGAAGCAGAGCATCCCTTCTTCCTGCTATCATCAGTCTGCTGTGCTGTGGAACATGTTACCTTGGTCACAAGAGAGTACGTGAACCTTTGTAGGACATCACACATGAATATAATCCAAGATAATCTTGCATTGATAGCTCCTGCCACCAAACTGCAGCAGGTTTTTCTTTCAGTCATTCCAAACAAAACAAAACAAAACAAAACAAAAGCCCCACAACAATCTAGGATTATAAAGACATGGTATAAATAATGTAAATTAGATTATAATTTTTTAAGCCTTTGAATCTCCGCCCAGAGGTGGCTCTCGACTCATTGGCTGTCTAGCTTCCACAGCAGCCCTGGTTTTGAATGAATATTTGTATATATATATATATTTATCTCATACAATATAAAAATATAAATGCAAAAATTTCCCCCTGCCTTCTCTATTTTGCTATTTTATAGTCTGCACATGACATCATGTTATAACATATGTATGATAGACTTGTACTATGGTTATCATAAAAGGAGCTGAAAGCCAAGTATTACTCTACAGCCCAAAGGTAGGGAGAACTGAGAAAGGGTCATCACAGTATAGTGGAGGCATTTGTTTCTAAATCAGAATAAAAACCAAAAATAATGCCCCCAGCCCTCCTCTCCTGTCAGTAATTTTTTGAGTGAAGAAAGCTTCCACTCAACTGAAGAGAACTGGGTGGAGCTAGGGGCAACAAAACACACGGGATGCTCTGTCAGAAATCAGAAATCTGATGGTTGCCAACAAAAGGCTCAAATGGCTCAATAACTGGGCTGAACAATGGAAAGAGAGGCAGAGATTGAAACTGAGGGGAAAACAAACAAACAAACAAACAAACAAACAAACAATCAACCCCAAAATGAAACTAAACAAAACAAAAAACAACCCAGCAAACTGACAACACACATACAAAGGAAACCGCTGGGAGGATGAGGCTGACAAAGACCCGTTGTCTAGCTTATAGGTTGTTAGGTTTGAACATGTAGAGTATGGCCCCAGCACATGCTTCTAAAGAATGAAATGTTGCCACCTACATTGCAGCTGCCATGGTTGGAGACACCAGTAAATGTCTAAACATTGTCTCAATCTTTAAAATTCTGCTTAGCTTCTATCAGACGCACATCGTCTTAAATTTTCAGTGTGGGTTTTTCCTTAATATAGATAATATATATATTTTATATAATATATCAAAGTTTAGAGTATAGATTAAAAAAATTATCTGATCTGAGGCATTCCTTCCTAAATATCAGGGTAAAACTCAGAGCCATGGTCCATGCTCTGCAACATCGGCTTCTGGTCAAGAGATGACATCCTGCTCAGCATTTCGGCCGAGAGCGCATAACTATTGCCTGACTTCTCCTCGAACCAGCTATCGAGTGCCCTTTTGCAATCGAAGTTGGCAATGGGCGGCCCGTTAACAGCAATCGTCAACAGGTCACTGAGCTGCTCCAGCGTGAGCCGAGAGCGGTTGTTCTTGCGCACTCTCTGCAGCGCGGTGCGCCCCTTCTCACAGCAGGCCGAAGAGGTGGGAAGGACTTTGAGGATCTGAACTATTTTATTTAGGAGGGGAAATCTCTGTTTGTATTTACAAATGTGACTGAGCAAGTCTTTAAAACCATTTTTGGTATAATAATCCACCTTGAGTTCTCGCCACTCCATCAGCAGACTCCCTCGGGTGTCCATCCCCTCTCGGCAAACCTCTCTGGAAAATGATGGGACTGTCTCCAGGTGTTCAAATATTTGTACCATATCCTCCTTCCCATAGCTCATGAGCTCATCAGTGCTTCTGGGCCAAGCTGCAAGGTCAAATACCTGACAGGCCTTCACAAATGTCCGGCTGCGGGAATCGAACCTTTGGGCTAGGATCACCTGGGTCTTCTGGCAGATCTTTTCTCTGATCGACTGGAATTTGGCTTCAGCCACCCGTAGATTTTTCACAGCAATGCCATTAAAGCTTTCACGGAAGTTCTCCTCAAACTCCTGCAAGTACTCCCCAGGGGAGTCTGCTAGCCGGCTGATCTCCTGGATGGCCTCCTCTATTTTATCGTCCACCTGTGACACAAGAAGGTACTCCCCTTGGAAGACGTAGGCAAGGCGTGAAAGCACAGCAATCACATCCAGCAGGAAGTAGATGAGTTTAATCGACTGGTAGTCCATCAGGAACTGCAGGAGGGCCAAGGCAATGGCAGAAGCGTCTGCCCTTTGGGTCTGGCCACTGACATCTTTGAGATGGGCTACAACCTCAAGGTAATCCTTGATGAGAGCGTTGAGCACGTTCTGCTCCCCAATGATCCACTTCACTGCTCGAATGTCCCCCAGGAACTCGGTCTCCTCACACAGAGTGGCAGCAGTGACCCTTAACTCACACATGAGTCGGGGAGAATAACGATAGAAACTGAGCAGTTGCTTCAAATTGTTTTCTAGCTCCTCCAGACATGGTAGCTCCTTCCCACTAATTGCATCCAAAATTTCCAAGTGGGGCCTATGCACCATAAAGGGAAGGCAGAGGAGCCAGGGCAAGGTCTTTCTGATTGTCATGAACAAGTTGGCTCTCAGGCTGGCGGTAATGTTAGCACCATCAACTCCCAAGCCGATAGTTGGCTTTTCATCCTGCAGTCGTATTCCCAGGCTGGAAAAAGCCCGGTCTAATGCTTGAAGGTAACTGTCTGTTGTAGAAAAGCCTAGCTCCTGAAGAGACAGGAATTCAGTTGCTGGAGGCCCATCACTGCTGGTGTACTGCACATAGACTGCAACTGTATCTGCAAGCAAGTCATCGCTCTGCCCATCCAGAATGATGCTGAGGAAGGGAGACTGCCGGATGCGCTCAACCAGGTCCTCTCTGAGTGCCCGGGCGATATGGTGAATTAAGATCTGGCAGTCTCCTTCATTCATGTACTGATCCACCACCTTGAGTTCACACTTTCTCAGTAGTTCTGCCAGAGGCCGAAAGTCATAGTAGGGCCTGCCCTCCAGGGCCAGGTGGTAGGCTGTATTGAAGAGCAGGGTCATATTTCGGCACATCTCTTCTGTCTTCTCTGGGTGCATCCTGAGCTTGTAAAGCTGCAGGCACTTCTTGTGGAGGTTACTCTGGCTGTGAAGCTTTATCGTGTGTATCTTGAACTGCTTAGAGCCAATGATGAAGGCTGAAGTCCGAGAAGATTGCACTGTGTACTGCCTACAGACATGGCACCACATCTCATTCAGTGTCGGGGAGTACCGCAGAAACCAAAACTTTTTAAGCCACTCTTGCTTGAACCGCCGTATCCTCCGGCCCGTCGCAGAAGACATCTTAGAAGGCTCATCTGTAGCAGCAATCATGTCATTGGAAACTGATTCATCAGCAGAATCCACCTCTTGGTCATCGTCCTCCATGATGGTGGGAACTGAGATGATGCTTTCCGAAGCTGTAACAAAAAAGGAAAAAAAGGAAAAAAATATGGTATTTACAAAGTTGCTGAGCTAGAGAAGCATCCTACTGGTGAGAGTAAGAGCACTGCCCAAAGAGCTGGCCACAACCTTTCTTCTCCTGCCCACAATACATTATAAATAGAATTTGAATCATGACTTTGAAAGGAAAAGAAATCAGTATTTCTGCATAAGAACTTTGTCTCCAACATGCCACAATGAACAGCAAAAAAGGACACTACATCCTGACCACTTGAACAATACACTGTGTGACCCAAATATTCCTTTTACTGAAGGCTCCTGGCTGCCTGACAGCATGTTCCTGGAGGAAATGAAATGTATCTTCAGAAAGCCACACGTGGTTGTGTTAAGGCAGTGGAGGAAACAAAGAGAGATTTCCAACAAGGGACACAGCAGGACATAATTTCATACACAAAGAGAGCACATTTCAGCATTACCACAGAGTCATTCATACTTTCTTGGTAGCATGTAAGGCATTGTGGAAGGTCTTCCGCTGAAAGAGAATGCATCAAAAATACAGCAAACAAACTGTCTGCAATGGAATGTCTTTTTTATTGGCAGTGCATTATCAATTACAATGGCAACAAATAGAGCAAATTGTCATACAGAGTCTTTCCCAAACAGTGTTTTCCACTGTACCCACAGCATCAGCTCCTGGCCCACCCAGTCACAAAACCTGACAAAGAACCTTCCATGGAACCACAGCTTCACCTGAATACTCAGAGCAAAATGCTTTAGATGGGTACACAGCACACAGGCATCTCACTACTCTCCTTAGGCAGGGTTTGGAGAATGCTCTAACTCGGCAAGGCTTACCTGTGGGGTCTGAGAACTCTTGGAGCTCGGGTACCTGGGGCGGTAACACGGGTGCCTCGGGTAACTTCCCAGATCTCAGCATGTCTAACTCAGCCTGCAGCTCCCGGATTTTCTTCTTCAGCCGGATGCAGTTGGGGCAGAAGGATGTGGTGGGGATCTCATGGGAGTTGCCTTGTGCAGAGGCCAGTGACAGCTCAGTTGGGCTGTCTGCTTTAAGTGACAGGGGCTCTTCTTCCTCATCTTCAAGGATGCTCATGTCCTTGGCTGAGATGAAAGAGGAACTGTGAGGGACCCTCCATTCGCTCTCCCTCTGGTTTCTGCTGAGGGTCAGGGAGCCATGCTGCATGGCACTGCCACACTGCTCAAAGATGTCTTCAGCCTGGTATTTAGATGCTCTTCTGAGGGAAAGTGGTGTACTTGATGCTAACTGATTCTCTTCAAACTTGGCAGACTCCAAAGAAGCCTCCAGGACATCTTTGAAGATGAGGTCAATTTTTTTTTTCTTTGTTTGGGGGTGGAATTCCCCCTCGTCACAGCTGCGCTTGTAGGGGCTCTTCCCCTGCTTTAAGGTAGTGAATTGGAGTGCTCCCCTTGCATCCTCTTGATTTTCTACATTCTTTTCTGAGTTTTCGTTCTTTAACATTTTGTCTCCTAGAATGGAAAATGAGGGGTGGGGATTATCACTGGGAACGGAGCAACATCCCTCAATTTAAAACTCAAACAAAAAAGAACAAAAAGGCAGACTGAATCCCTGCAGGTCTGCATATTATGCTACAAGCCAGGGAACTGACACAACTCAGTGGAAACCGAGGCTTGCAAGAGGAGAAGCCCTGCTAATGGGCATGTCTGCAAAAACAGAGACAGTCCTGGGTAACCACAGCAGAGTAGAACCCACACACTTCAAAGAGAAGAGAAACTACAGGCAGCTTGTTTAGCCTAAAGGTATAACCAACCTGCGTTGGAAGAGGACTATGAGGTGAATGACTGATCATGGTGGAAACTATATCCAGAGCCTAAGTCCTGTTTTGGCTGGCTGGAAGTCCTGTGCCTGTTTTGACTTGGTAAAAGGTATCAAGCGTACAGCAGTGCAGAGAGAGATTTACACCATTTCATGACAACCCCAGTGTCTGTGCACGCCATGGCACAAAGTTTGCAAGCCCCTTTACTCTTGTTCAGTTTGGAGGCTGCTCCAGAAATGCAAAGGTAAAGGAGTAAAAACAACTTGCACACTTAAAAGCTAAGGTACACATTGTCAACTGAGCTACAATGGGTGAATGCCCTCCAAGAATGGGACGTCTAGCTTGTCCTGGTGGAGTTTGAGAGCATGACCATTCAGTAATTGAAAAAAAAATATTAAAAGCAACCTCATATAAATTATTAATTGCTTAAAATAAAGGGAATAGCCAGATTTCCTTACCTGGAAATTCAAAAGACGATAGGTTTGGCTCAATTTCCATCACTCTTCTATCTTGTAAATAACTTCAAGCATTGATGGCTTCCCAAACAAGACGCTGTTTTATGCTGATTTTTGGTTTTGTTTGCTTAAAGTGTATTCATGCTTTCATAAGAGTTATGGAGCAAAAGCTACCATTCCCTCTCTAAGGAGAGCAATGCTAAGAATGCAGAAAAGATGCACGACTTGAAACAGTTAGAGTAAGGCACTGTAAAAAGGGCTGGCCTGAATGATGGAATTTTGCACTGGGTTTGGATGCTGGCTAGGAAACCCAGCCACTTCTTTAGTGAATCCATAACAACAGATCTCATTTTCAACACACTGATGAGAATTTTTATGGACAAAGCTTTCACTCTCTCTCTTAGTATTTCCCCTGTTATGGACCACAGCAACTACTGTGAGAGGTAGTGATTTAGAGAACTGGTTCTTCTTTCTTGGTGATTTTTTCCCCCAACCAGCCGAGTGCTTCAGCCCTATGGAAAAGCTAGAAATCACAAGATGATCCCTCATATTATTGGTCTCAAATCCAATGATGAGGCAGCTCAGAAACCATCAGCAGAAACAAAACCCATGAACCATGTTATTTTCCTGTGAGTTCATAAAGTGTGCCACTTCCTTTGACAAACACATCTGCAGGGATTTGAAATCTTTTAAATAGAAAGACTCAGCAGATTTTTGTGCTGCTTCCTGACCACTTCCCAGTGCCCTCCCAGCTGAAGCTTCGATGTCTCTCACAAGTCTAGCAATGGCCCAGGTGATGCTCCGTTTTAACATCTCTGTGCCCCTTTTGTGAAGGCAGGCTGAGACCAGCTTGCAGCAGGATGAGCTCACCAAGATGTCAGGGGGTTTCTGGAATGGTCTCCGTAGCCACATGAGTTTCTACCTGAGGGTGCATTAGGCTGTGGCAGGTTCTGGAGAGTCCTGAGGCAGATCTTCACCACACTCGTAGCACAGAGCAGGCTGTGAGTTACTTTTTCAGCTCCCACAAACCATGACACCGTGACAATCCAGGACTAAAGGCATGCTTGCATGGCAGGGCAATAGCTCGAAGCCTTGGTGTCCCTGTAGAGCAGCTGCTCCAAGGGCACAGACTGTCTCTTGCTGTACTTTCAGAAAGGACTAAGCCATCTGGATGACTGTGCATGTTAGTGCAGCAAAATCACTGCAGCCTAATCACTCACTGGTGTTCATTGACATAAAAAAGCAAATTCATACCAATGTTAATTCAGAAGTGGGAATTGCCCAAGTACAGCCACCAAGATATAACACTGCAAGCGCATAACAACCTTAAGGTGATAGAGATAACCAGCTTTTTCAGGACATCTTGTCCACCCCATGACTGAAGAGGAGACACCTTTTACCAAGTCAAGGCAGCAACAGCAGCTGTGTAATAATATACTCAGGAATCATAATTACAAATTATATTTAGTGTGGCTGCCCCTCTGAGGCCCTGCCATTCTGCATCTAGCCTGGAAAGAAATGTTCCTAATTAACTTCAGGTATCAGCACTGTACAGATGAACAGATGCATTAAGAATTTTTGCTTTCCTTTAAAGCTTCCTATATTGCTGACAATATGTGGACCCAAAGGACTGCTGGGTTTTTTTCAACATTGCTACTCTTTAGACAAGATAATTTTTATCCAAGGAAGAATCAGTCTGACAAGTACAAAGCCTCCTGTACGTTGTATACACATTCTAAGGTTGTGAGACTAAGGAGCAGATGTCGCGCTGATCCCAAATTATCTTTCTGAAGAAAGAGGAGATAAATTAAACGAGGAAAATGGACATACAAACACACCAAGGAAATCTCATTCATATGGACACAAAATCAGCCAGAGCTCCCTCAAACAGGCTGCTCACAGGAGCCAGAGAAAGCAGCATATTCAGAGGAAAAACCTAATGCTGTCTTGTAGGATCATCAGCTTGGCAATCTTCAGGCCAGAAAGTCTTGTGATGGGGTGCTCTATGATCCCTGGGCATTGCATCAGGCCCTTGCAGCACACACACACACAGCATGGCACAACACAACACATGACATGACACATCACAGCACAAATCTTTCTTTCATGATCTCCATGACTGTGGGTATCTTATTCTTCTTGTACACCCATCCATCCATGCCAGGCAGAGCTGGGGCTCTCACCCAGAGGTGCTCTGCTTCTAGAAATGCAACTCTCCTCACACAGCCTGTGCAAAACCTGCTTCACCCACCACACTTGGCCCAACTGAGGGGCAGCCTGAGGGGATCAGGAGAGAGGATGGAAAGGGAAGGGACTCACCACTTGTGCAATTTCTGTTCATGGTTTCCTGGGACATACTGTGCAACCGCTTCATGTAGTCCTCACTGTACCAGACCCGCAGCTTCTCCCCAGGGTGGATGTCACGGCAGGCACGGAAGTAAATCCTCTCACTGTGCTGAAAGGCCATCAAGTTCTGCTCCCTCTCCTCCCGGGAGATGATGACATATCTGAGGGCAAGGGGACAAGGCAGGTGTGAAGCACAAACGTCTCTCCTGTGCCCCCCCTTGCATCAGAATGACAACCATGAAGAAGCCAGAATGACCTTTGGAGAGAGACATCAACACAGCCAGGCTGGAAAGCATGGAGTTACAAGCAATGGTGTGCAAACGAGCATGGACATCCAGGGAACACTAAGCCAAGTGGGGCCGTTTTTTGCTGGGGAAGGGATGACACAAATGCACATCCAGTCTGAAGGGATGTCTGCCAGCAAGGGTGACAGACCCTCCCAGTCAGAAATATCTTTGCCTAGTGATGGAAACAAGGACTTCCAGACTTCCACCGTCACTTCATGTCCCAGGGCTCCCTCCCTTGTTCTCAGGAATATCTGGAATATGGCAGGGTTCCTCTCCCTGTCTGTTTCCCGAAAAGACTGCCTTCTTTTTTTAGTTGGTAACAGATTTTCTTGCTTCTGTCCTCTCAGGCAAGCAGAACTGAGATTCTAAGGACAGAAACATGGATACCTAATGGGCATGGGAGTACGTGCTGGTTGTCCAAGGACATGCCAGTATTGGAAGGTTTTGCACTTTGGAATTCAGCAGGGTGTGATGTAAGAAACCAATTCAGCTCTGCAAGTGGAAACCCCAACACCGCATTGTGGGGATCTCCTAGCAGTGCTGACAAAAAGATCAGGGCATGGGATTTATTTTCCTGATTTAAACCAGCTTCATTTCAGCTCAGCAGAAATGTATTTATTCCTAGTCCCAGCAACTGGCCTTCTGTGAAACTTGCTAAAACAGAGATCTATCACTAGCTCCCCATTCCTGCTAGAGGACATGAAAAAGGCTTGGTAATACTGGTTCCAGTTGCCACCAGCATGAGCTCACAACACCTACCCAGGAAGGAGGCCCCATCACAGCATGTGTAGACCCCAAATCAGATGTGAACAGCTCATAGCTAAAACTTATTTTTCTCTTATGCTATATGCCTCATGTTCAGCATGCCCCACTGAAGCAAAGGCAAGGAGGCTGAGGGGAGCATACGGCTCCTCTGACATCTGCTGCTATTAGTCCTTGCCTAAGTTGCCTAATGTATATACAGGTATTTCTTTGGCTTAAGAAATCTGTCAAATCTTTTTAATAGTCTACCTTCTCTAGCCATGTGAATGCACAGATAAAGACCCAAGTCCACCTGCACATGATCCCACTAACCCACACATATAAAGTCGCAAACTTGGTGAAACTTCCCACAAAACAACTCTGCAGTGGCAATGTCTCAGACTGCCTGAGGCTCTGGTTTTAATGTTAAGCAACTGTGCATGTGCCTGCAAGCAGTTGTATTTTTCCTAATGTGTGCTACCCAGGATTCTCTGCCATCTTCAGTAATTATTTAAACAGCAGACTGGTACTGCCAACATCGGCTTTTATTAACCTTTATTTACTTCTGATCACAAAACAAAGGAACTTTTGTAGTACCAGTTTTGTACTATTTGTACTATTTGTGTATTTGAGAAGGAAGAGAGACCTGGACCAGTGGGGTGGGAAGGAGGTGCTGCAACAGCACACAGCTGCCAGGCTGTTGCTTCTGTGTGTTAGCTATCACTCCTCAAAAGGTTTATCAGGCCTTCAGCCAGCCATGAGATACACAACCCTTGAGACAGACCAATGTGCTGGTGCCTTGCAGCACAGATCCTAGGGGATGCTCTCTCCAGTCCAAGCAAAATGTCAGGATGCTTCCCAGCACCAGCTAAGGAGAGACCCTACTTTGGATCCCACCATCCACAACAGGCTGCCCCTGTGAAGATTTACTAACCTAAAGTCACTCAGAGATCCTTATTATAACATACAGGACCTGTACATCTACATCCAGTGACACCAAGGAATTCATGCAGCAGTGGCAGGATGGTCTAGTGCATTTTCAGCAAACAGTATTTGACAGTGAGATGTAGAAAATACAGCTTTGAATGGGAAGTTAACTACGCCCACCAGGGCTCATTTTTGTTATGAAGTATTTTGTTAAGCATGAGCTTTTTCTCTTCACTGCTCTCCTTCTACCTCTACAGCCCTCCACGTTTCTGCCCGAGTATCCTTCAGCTCTGCTGCCTGCATCCTGTGGCTCTGGCCACCTGCTGGAGCAGCAGGGAGCTGGGAGGAGAGTGCAGGCTGGAGGGCATGAGCTGCTGCAACACGGCAGCAAATGCTGCCTGGCTGTTCATCCAGCCTCCTGCAGCCACTAGCACAGCTATTCTCATCAGAAGCCTCCAACAGAGAGTTTGGGATAATCCAGTCACAAACACGTTTCTTCACAGCCACACCCAGCTAGCAAGTGGTTTACACTCCTAGAGAGGAAGCTTTCCATCTGTGATACTTCCCTGAGGTAAAGTAAATGGGATGAGATCATCCACACAAAAGAAACAGTTTTGAATCAGTGCTGCCCAGCCCCAAGCTCCAGTTTCCCCAGAGGCACAAAAGACACAAGTTACAAAGGACTGCATAAACCCCACATTCCAACTGCTGGTCTAAGGCACTTAGCGCCACTGCAAGCCACAGCTGAGAGGCAGATACTTTCCAAGGATGGAAAAAATCATTCCACAAAAGTGCAGCCAGCTTGGTGAACCAGGGGCACAAACCACCTGCTGAGGCATGATCAGCCTTCACTGACACACATCCCAAGGCCAAAGTGCTCATATCCCAAACAACCCAACCCTTCCTGCGAAGCCTGCATAGTGTCCAGCCCCCTTCCCAATGCCAAATACTCCATTTGGATTGAAGCAAGGAGGCTACCTTGGTTTGGACACCCAGGATAGGCATGGTTAGGCTGACCCTAGCACTGCACACTGATGGGCAAAGCTCTGCTTGCAGAGCAGATTTCCCAAGGGAGGATCCTCAGAGGAAGAGCAGTCATACTGCTCCTTCAGCAGACCCAGACACCCTCAGCTGCACCTGGTCCTGCAGGGAGGCATTGCCACCAGCCACAAATCCATTATTTCATGTCTTGTCTAGTCCTTGGGACAGGCCAGCCTCCCGAACACCACAGTTCTTGACCAGGCTACTCAGGACCAGACACAGAACCAAGGGAGACCACTTCTGACTCATCTGCAGCTACTGGGGCTGGGATCAACCCCACAGCTGACAGAGGCACAGCTCCTTGCTCTGCAGGAGCACCTTTCCCACAGACTCTCTAGCTAGCAGCAAATAAAAATCATTGTTGCATTTTTACTAAGGCCCAGCCCACTCAGGACACCAAATTCCCAAGTTCTGGGATGGGAAGTGAGCATGCCCAGAAAAAATGTCAAGTTATTTTTCTGCAGCTGGGATCATTCCTCCCCAGGAGGGGGACAGAGCCTCTGGTGAGGATCCAGAAGAGACGGTGAGGAGGGAGAAGACCTATGCAGCTGGAAGGAGGCTCAGGCTTCTCCCCTTTTCCTCTCCACTATTGCCCTGGACTTGCCTCATGGCTCCCTGCTGCCCACTCCACAGCCACTGGCCTGTCCCAAACCAACTTCGGGCACAGAGCCAGGGCAGGAGATCCCACACAAGACAGCAGCCACCAGCCCAGTCTGATGCCATGGGATGCCACCCCTAAACCCTGCCTCCGTGCTCTGATGCCAAGTGTCTACAGGAGACCCACATCTGTGACAGGCTAGTTACCAGCTCAGGCAAAAATTGTAGCGAGAAACAAACGACTCAACAG